GAATGCCCTAAAATAAAATATCTTTGTTAGAAAGGTAAATAAAACATTGTAACAAAGAAGCAACAAAATAGAAAGCAATTAACTATAGTTTGATGTGTCATGCACTGACAAAATAACAAACCAGAACTGTAACAAATACTACGTCACCGTGTGATCTGTTTTGCACCTCTGTTTAATTGGATACATCTTGTGCTGATGATTCAGAAGGATATGAGGTGTGAAACATCCTGGATATACAGAAGCCACTGAAGGAGACATGTGAGTTCTGAAGTCCAGTAGCTCTGAACATGTTCAAACGTGACAGCTGGGAGGGTGCTGCAGCACTGCAAGGCTGCCTGAAGAGTTTGTGGAATTACTGCTCTAGGAACGTTAATATGTTGGCACATCAGTTTGCTTGTGCTTTCTGATGATTGTTTCTCATCAGGCCCTTGCACAGCTTTTGACACATGTGCAAAGCAGCTACGACACTCCTGAGTTGATTTGATGGGGCTAAAAATCCATCTTGTAGAAGTATAACTGATGACAGTGTGTGAGGCTGTAGAGTTTCAGCCCTTTATGCATGTGTGATGAATGACTGTTACCCTTTCTAAAATACATGCATTCTTTCAATAGACAGAAAATACTCACAGGCTGACCATGTTGTCCAAGTTTCCCTGGAGGTCCAGGAGGTCCTTGATCTTTCTTCTGCACATCTTCTACTCTTGGTCTTCCTGGAGACCCTGTGGGCCCATCCTCTCCTTCCTGACCTTTCTGGCCCTGAGTAATTAAAATATGAAATATGAAAAATGTGTTGCATTACTTTTCCCTTTTTTTCTTTCCCTCCCTCTTTCCCCTCTCTCCTAGAACCCCTGCTTTGTTCAATACAGTCAGAAACCTGTTAGGCACCATACAAACAATATAGTCCATTCAGCAAAGGCAGTCCATACTAGACATAATTCAAGCAAGTACAAATAAACTGCTCACTGAGCTGGAAAAACTGAGAGCTGGTTACCTACGTGCAAATGACCATGGTCTAATTTCATATCTGCACAAATCTGCAGTCTAAATCAATAATGTAGTTTTGAAAAAGACCAGTTTCACCAACTCAGTCTGTCTGGGAGAAAATTGTGAAAGTTAAAAAGAGATGTTTAGGAATGCTTTAGCCAACTCCCCTGAGATCTACAACTCTAACAAAAGAGGGTTACATATACAGTTTGGTGAAAAAGGAAAGTGTCAGAAGATGAAACAAGGAAACTGATAGCAAAGAGTAAAAATGGACAACAAGGAAGAGCAAAAAATTGCTAAGCTATTTGGTCAAGAGAAAGTAAGAATAATAAAAAGAATAATTTAAATACATCAGGAACAAAATAAACCCTTTCAGTGGTGAAGCTTGGACAGTAGTACCTATTTAAATTAAAATCCAATATACAAGATGGAACATTTAAGTCATTTTTGTATCATATTTTGAAACAAGCACTACGATTTACTCACATTTTATAGTAGCAATAAAATATTTTGTGTCCCATTAGTACCTAATGAAACTAGGAGGGATGTAATATAGTAACTATCCAAGCATTTTAAAGTTAGCAGGATGACAGCTTTCAGCAAAGGAGCTGTTAGCTGATTTTTTAAAGATCTTTCTGAGTTTTGTCACTAGGAAAATTCCCAAAGACAGGAGTTTTTTTATCTGGTTTTATTAGATATTTTTTTCCCATCTGGAAAAGTGTTAGAAGAGAACCTAGTTAACTAAGCTGTAGGTAAGATCATAACCTGAGTGAGATAACAAGCTTGTTGATACAGATTTTTAGAGTACTGAAAGAGCTAGAGGATGTTATGGCAGGAACTCTCTCGATCATCTACCAAAGGTCTTGGGAGTCTGGGGACATCCCTGCTGACTGAAAGAGAGCCAATGTTATTCCAATCTACAAAAAGGGTGTGAGTGAAGACCCAGGGAACTACAGACCTGCTAGTCTAACCTCAGTTCCTGGAAAAATTATGGAGAAGATTATACTGAGTACTACTGAAAGACATTTAAAGAACAATGCAATCATCAGGCATGCTCAACATATTGGTTCACAAAGGGAAAGTCCTGTTTAACTAATTTGATATCCTTCTATGGATACCTAGTGGATGAAGGGAAGGCGGTGGATGTAGTTTTTCTGGTTTTTAGTATGGCTTTTCATACCATCCCTCACAGCATCCTTCTGGCCAAGTTGTCCAACTGTGGGATGAGTGGGTTCATGGTGTGCTGGGTGAAGAACTGGCTGAAGGGCAGAGCTCAAAGCATTGTAGTGAATGGGGCTACATCTGGCTGGTGACTGGTCACCAGTGGCATTCCTCAGGGTTCAATTCTAGGGCCAGTTTTGTTCAATATATTCACCAACGATCTGGATGCAGGAGTTGAATGCACCATTAGCAAGTTTGCTGATGATACCAAACTGCGAGGTGCTGTTGACTCTCTTGAGGGACAAGAGGCCTTGCAGAAGGATCTAGATAGTTTGGAACATTGGGCTATGATTAATGAGATGGAATTTAAAAAGTCAAAATGCCAGATTCTGCACCTAGGAAGGAGTAATGCCAGGCACAAGTACCAACTGGTAGAGGAGTGGCTGGAGAGCAGCCCTGCAGAAAGGGATCTGGGAGTGCTGGTTGAGAGTAGGCTCAATATGAGTCAGCAGTGTTCCCTGGCAGCCAAGAGGGCAAACTGCATCCTGGCGTGCATCAAACACAGCATAACCAGCTGGTCAAAAGAGACAGGGCCACTTTTACTATGTACTCACAAAGACTAGTTTTCAATGCAGTAACAATTTTTTTTAATATTATTTTCTAAAAGATTGCTCTTTAGCATGTTGTATAACCATCTTGGGTATCTATGTAGTGAAAAGGATGTGGAAATTGGAATAAGTTCAAGAAAAAGCTTGTAAAGATGAGTAATTAGCAAAACTACTTGTCACAATACATTTAAGCTTTTTGTGTCACACTACTTAAATCAAGATTGGATTTTTATTTAAGAAAAATAGCCCAAAACTTAAATAAAAAAAAAAAAAGAGTGTAAGAACAATGGTTCATCCTGACATTAAAATTGCTGCTTTTAAAAAATGTGAATGCAGGCATGAAAATGTTAGAGAAATCATATTTGGAAGTCCTCCAACAAATATTAAAGCTTCTTGTATGTCAGCTCCAATGAATGATCCTTAACCTAATATCTCACCTTTTGTTATAATTTACCACAATGAACACAGAAACACTAGAAGATCCTGTAAGAAGCAACCTTAAACACTTGTAGAACACAATGTAGAACTTCAGAATAAAAGTTCTGTCATTCTTGATGCTGCGTGTTTTCTGGCAAACTGCAGTTTCAAGCACTATGAAGAATAGACTTTTGGCGTAGGAGTCACTAAGACAAGAGGAAGGAAAGCTCATTATGTATTTTCTGCTTAGAAAAACCTGTGGTGGATGTTGGATCAGGAATGTTAATTAACGACAAATGTACTACTAGCTGATTATTTTGAAATATGTCAACAAGTAGGGCAAGTATTTGAGTAGCTGGAACCCTCCAACTCACAGGATTCCAAATGAGGGGCATACATAATTTTAATTTGCAGAATCGCATGAAATTCAGGTTACACATCATTAACTTACAAATGCAGTAGGCACAGTATCTTTCAAAGCCCAATGTCTCACCAGAGAGGATGACTTTGCTACATATGGCATAGCCACTCCCTTTGGGGTTTCTAGTGCCTGCAGTCACATAGGCTGGAGTACTCTCTATTCAGGAGTTAAAAGGGCTGCCATTTTTCTTAGCATTGCGTGAACCTCAAAGTAGAGACAGCCTACAGCCTTGCATTTTCTCTTAATTTCCTTGTCTAGGAGCCAGTCCCACAGGAGTCTACCAAAAAGGAGTATCTAATTTTATAAGGTATTTGACAAAGAGTGATTTTGAAAATATGACTAGTCTCAATGCTTCGCATGTAATTTATAGTTATTCCTGGTCCTGGCAGAATTGAATTGCCAATTAAATTACAGCCCATCTTTGTCAGAGTTTCCTCTGTTCAGTAGCATACAACTCACTTGATGTTGGCACACACACTTTCTAGAATCTTTTTTTCCATCAGGAGGGATCCTGAAAGAATTCCTGCTTGGGCGCTTGCAACAAGACAGCCTGACCAGGATTTTTGGAAGGCATCTCTGACAGGTGAAAGATGTCCAGATATTGCCTCTTCTAGAGTGCTTCTAAAAAATCTGCTGGCAGCCTAGAGAGAAGCTAGTCATGGCTGTAAACAGCATCTATTCATGTAACTGCTCTGACACAGACATGAGTAATACAAGGACCCCAAACAACTTTACTGACTTGCCTCAACTTTGATCCTTTATAAGACCATCTAGGGGTGGAAAGGTTGTTCAGTCTTAATATTTTATTAGTCAAAGCATCATTTTATTGTGAATGCCAGGAAAGCTGCTGGTTACTTTTTTAATGGATTTTTCATCTCTGGGTGTTAACGTACACAGCTGTCAGGAGGCAGCATACACTGCTTTCTTAAAGAAATAGCTAGGAGTTGCAGACACTTTTCCAGTGCAATCCATGCAGTCATTCCCTTGTCAAGACATGAAATATAGGATCAACCTCTTGGATGGTAATTCAAGTAAGATTGGGTTTATAAAGGGATAATTTGCATAAAATATAAATTTTCAGATTAGTCTGTGGGCAACTAAGGAAAGCCAGTATTACGCATTTTATGCATAAATTCCTCCAGAATTTAGTGTATTTTAGTGTTAGTTTTCTATTTGGATCACCTGATAATGAAGCACTGTGATAATGAAGTGCTTCTTTGCACTTGGTACTTCACACAGAAGCATTTGGTGAGCACTCAAAGGGTGTAATTTTAAATCTGTTTATATGCCACACTTCTGAGAAGGAGCAGGACTTTCACCTGCAAGGCAGTTACTGTGAGTAAGACCAAGATGCCTGCTTTTAGGGAATAAAAATTGTGGGCTTTTATGGTGAGGATTTATGTTTCTCACTTTCTTAAATGCAAAATAAAAAATGCTGAACTGAAAACCCACCTCAATGGTTACAGATCCAAACTTCTGCATAGTGTCTGCTTTTCAGTCTGATGTCATGAGAGGACAGTCAAGAATTTAAAAAGTAACTTCCGTTTTGGCATGCTGCTAAGATGGAATAGATAAAGGTACCGACTCAGAAAACCACCTAAAATTCATAGGTTTTCCTGCCCTTGGGACAAAAAGATAAGGCATATGATAAACCCATTGTACAGACCTCCTCTCTGCTCACTGCCGGCAAAACACTAGCACCAGAGCCATCTTCTTGTCTTAAGATTTTCTTTACGACAGTGGTAGACTCACTGCTGCCTTGTTCCGTTTCCATGACAGCTGGATCTAAATAAAATAATCACTTATGAATGAGAGACAGAGCAAAATAAAACCCACCCAGAGGTATTTATCAGAGCACAGATCCTGCAAGTTGTATGAAAAAAGAAATTATTTAGATTATGACCAAAATACATTCCAAAGATTAATGTTAGTAATTTCATAACTCTGAAAATTTCATAAGGAAAGCAAAAAAGAGAAAAGTGAGAAGAGAATTATAGAACAAATGTTTATTTTAAGGACAAAGACTGTATTGCATCATCTTCTTTGCCTCAAGCTCTAGTCTAATGGTTCCTATTTTTCATCTATATAACATAAAAAATAAGAGGTATGTACAACAGGTACTATCTGAAGTATGTATGAAATTTAAATAGGAACATTGTCTTTGGCCTTATTAATATATCTAGCTTTACTTTTTATTTTCTGGGAGTGGACTGAAATTGTCTTACTAGTGGAAGACTGGATTGCTCAGTGCATTATGCCTTGCTCTTATTACTTTGCTGCCTACACTTGCATCCAAAACACCCTATTGGTGCACTAGGCAGATTGACATCCTTTGCAGGGAACATAAGTAGGATATAGTTGTTTATTCAGTGGTGGTATTCAGCTTTACATGACAGGCTGTGCTTCACTGTAGCAGAAGGTCATCAAATTAAATACTCAAATTCCTTTTAAAAGTGCCACATGGTTTTAGACCCAATAGCACTATTTGCAGAGGTACGTCCCAAGAATTGCCATGTTTCTCACTGAACTGAGCAGAATGAAGAGGATTTTTCTCATTTCATTCCCTTTGTCTAACACTTGCACTTTACTGGAGTGTTGTAGAGTATCCCAGCAGCAGCTCCTCAGGTCAGCTTCTTCATTTTATCCGATTCTTTTTTTCATTTTAAAATAGCTCTGTGATTGAAACTTCCACACTATAGAAGGGTAAATCTATTCTCTGCATGTTTAACAACAATGACTGAGATAAGTACCTGTATGGAGTGAAAAGTGAGAGATGTGTTGAACGGTGGCTGTAGTTGCTACCACTTACCTTTGCTGCTATTAACAAATTGCAGTCTAACAGACTGCAGTTTCAAAAAGACAAATGTTTGATGTGCCAATTCTTTTTTAACACACAGAATGTCCAAACCCATAGGATTTTCCATTCCTGGCAGCACCCAAAATGTGACAGTGGCTTTTCATACACAGGAAAATGACAGACTTGGACCTAGAGAGCATAAATGACACCACCCCCCCCAAAAAAAAAAAAAAAAAAAAAAAAAGGAAGGTCCTTTTTTTTTAAGTTTTACTCGT